TGATAATATCAACTAGTCCAAAAAGAATTCAGATGTTGGTCAATTAAGCCCTTTGTTAAGCACAGGTTTGGTTGTTTTCAGTAAAGCGTCTAATGGCATTCCACGCCATTCAAGAAGAATGCGCAGGTTCCGATGGCAAGGAAAACACCCTAAAATCACTTCCAGTGGGAATGCGGTCCGGTAGTACTTCCTTTATTTCCACAAGCTCCAAAATGCAGACAGAAGAATAAATGTCATTTGCATGTGTTTCTCAAAAGATTGCAAAAAGGTGGGCACGTACACANAGGTCACGTTTTAATGATGAAATCAGTGAAATCTGGTGACTCACACCATACGAATCATTTAGTTGAAGCGCAGGTGTGTCGTGAGTAGTGAACAATCAATGCGCTGCTTTGTGAACGAATGCTTGAAAACGGTTTCACGTTTTTTTAAAATAATTTTTCCACCATGCTGGATTGGGAAACAGACTGTAGCCAAAACTCGTTTGGTGTTCGGAGCTGTTGTCATAGCAAAACGGGTGTGTGACTGGGTAAAATAAACATGTGCATAGGAGTGGCCGACGGCTTATATGACTAATGAGACCTTATTTGCCCCTCGTGCGTGAGTTAGTGTTATCCTGAGGACGAATAAGCTCAGTCGGTTGATAAACGGGATCCGAGAAGTAGGTTTGCAAATAAATAGACGGAAATATTTTTCGTGACTCGTTTTTCTTCAAACAATCCATCTACTCCATCGAAATTACAAGTACATAAATAAGAAAAGATGCTACAAGACAAGAATTTCGTTCCCTTTTCTCAGTCATGAAGTAGAACACATTCTAAACAATGTGTCAAAGTGCACACCAGAGAACAGGATACAGACTAGTGTAATAACAAACGGGTAACGTGGATACAAACAAAGTTTGTCTGTGTGAAGGCTAGGCACGATTTTCATCAAGTTAGAATTGTAGCTTAACGTAAAGGTTGCTTTGCACACATGGGCAGGGAGTAATTTGCTAAAAGCTCTTGTCAATAGTCGGATTCTATTTTGGTAAATGAGTTCAGTAAAAGACGGTTGAGATCCATCCCGGCACTTCTTAAAGCAAGTAGAGGAAGGTGCGCATTACTCATCAATATGGGAAGTGATAATGATGTTTGATTCAAAATATTTTGTAGTGTATTGTAACGTTGAAACCTTGTCCTGTCTACAGGCAAATATGTCACTAGTAAAACAGTAGAACACACAACCTCCAGGTCAGGAGATTCGTCTTTGTCAGAACTCTACTATCGAAACATTATATAGGATTAGATCTTCGGCGTAAAAAAAAACAGCCTATGCAGCTCATCGCGTCAAAGTTGCACAGGACTTCAAAAACCCTTCATCTTAGAGTCTCATTCGGATGTGTGGTTATTCAGTTTAGAGCTTCGATCACTCACTGGGTATTGAACGTNCGTTGAATGCACACATTTCGAATAAGAGATCTTTTATTTTCGAAATGCGAAAGGAAAAAGCCATATTGATCATTTGCGGAATCCGATGAACATTGCTAAGAATAAAGTTGAGCTCTAATATGTTATGCGCTATACAGTTAAACAAAAAGAAAACAGTGAAATACGCATCGATTACATTGAAACACGACCCGAGATAGCAAGATTCCCTTCATTTTACCGGTGGTACAAATAGTCGAAAGGAGCAGCTACCTCAGATGCGCGACACTTCGTAGTGTTTGTTTAAATGAACTAGAGATAATTAGGGTAAATTCGACTTTGAAAAAGATCAGTGCTATCGGTGTGGTCTCGTAGCTCAGCTGGTAGAGNAGCATGCGCGTACAAAGCGTAGGCGGTGTCCATGCGTGGGTTCGAATCCCACCGAGGCTACTGAAAGTTTCACAATCGGCATATAATTTGTTGCATAAACCCAGCGGATGGGAGACGTACATTTTTATGGGAATCTGACAGCCAGCGGGAATTGAGAAAGGGTACTTATGGTAGATGCTCGTTTGTCACCAAATGAGCTTATGTTTGTTTCTAAGTACGGTAACAGAACCATG